TAAAGCTTCCCATCGCTGGGTAAGGGCATTCTGCCTTGTGATAATGTTGGACCAATGCTTGAACAGTGATGGGTAGAGCTTCCCATCGCTGTTTGGCATGGTTCTGGAAGTTGGTTTGGCTAAGGGGCTACTTACCCATCGATGGGATGTTCTTCCCATCGCTGGGTGGGTGGTTAGCCAAAAAGCTATGGTTTTTGCCTTAACCACGACCTAGCCAACCGATGCAAAAACCGACCAAAAAATCCAAAGTTCTCCGAAATAAACACCAAGTGTTTAAAACACTTATTTGATGTATTTGGATAAGAAATCAAGTTAGACACTTTAAGAATCACGTCATTTGAGTAAAAACCACGGCTAGCCAAGTTTACGCCGTTTTGCGTGGTTTTTGTCAAACGACTAAAAGCGAGAGATGGTTTTCAAAGTGTTTTTGTTGGAGAACCGTTTAAACATGCCAAAGAGTGAAAGCAGATCATAAAATGCTGAAAACCACTTGGTTGGTTCGGATGCCAAAAACCAAACCCGACAACCGAAACCCGAACGCGGGTTTCTGAAAGCCGAACACTGGATGGCTTGGTTTTTGGTTTGGGCGAACACCAAGTGTTTTTAATGACTTAAAAAAATTTGAAAAACGTTTTTATGATGTAAGAAATGCAATGAGAGATTATAGCCTAAAGAGCCAAGGTGTAAAGATTGGGTCGGTCTTGATCACAATAAAGACTGACTCAATACTATGATTAAGGTCTTCGTTCTTGGTCTTCGTTTAGCTCTTGCTCTTATCTTTGTTCTTCGCCTTGTATATTCAATGTTCGACTTTATCACGGCGTTTTGGCATTATCAAAACCTGTTACAAAAACGAACACGGCTTTAGTACGAAAACGTGGCAAGCCCGTGTTTCAACAAAACACTTCACTGATAAAATTTGGGCCCACACCGACTCGGAGACCACCGTAAAAGGCATCCTTAAAAACAAAAACCCGGGTCTAAATCATGAACTTTAGAACCGTCTTTCTAACGCGTCCCAACAACATGGCACCTCAATTCGACACATTTTTAGAGAGGGCAATTTGGGAGCACATACTTTAGCAAGATGGAGCAACAACAACAACTTTATTTCATCTTCTATTTCTTTCACAACTCTACCCCCCTTTGTTAAGGGAGCCATTACGGCTAATGTAACCCTTCCGTTTATTCGTTAAATAAATTTCTTTCTCATTAATATATATATATATATATATATATATATATATATATATATATATATATATATATATATATATATATATATATATAACGAATCAATCACATCCGCCATGTGAAACTTTGAACAAAACAAATCAATCACCCAAGAACAAAAACATATATATATATATATATATATATATATATATATATATATATATATATATAATGTTTTTGTAGACTAAAACATTTAATTGTGGAACAGTCTCACTAGGATCCCTTAGACCTTTTTGATGATCTTAGCCAAAAGGTCAAGAAACGTAGTAGAACATTTATTTTTTAGTAGATGAGTTCCACCACGTTAAAATTTAAACACAACACAATAACAAAAAATATTACATATATACTTGGCTCGAGAGTCAATTTGACAATATTCACCTTGGTAAGAGATTTTCCTATTTATTAACCTCTTTCATGTCCTATTTGATGACAAGGTTCATGCCGAGTCTTCTTTATTGGCTGGAGGTTGGCGGTACTTTCAACAAAATGGAAATTTCAACGCCTCCACTAATCAACAAAATGGAAATTTCACCATTTACCGGTATTGGTTTTCCTCTTTTTGTCGAATATCTCCCAAAGAAGAATTGTCTTAATATGAACTGCTGCACTCTAATCAAAACCACACTATTACAAATAGGTGCTTAAGGCCATGTGACATTCAGATTCCACTAAACCGGCTATATTCACCCTGTCAAACGCCCCCGTCAATGGTTGGTCTTCATTCTTAAAGCCTGTTGGTGTCATATTCATTCTTTTTGTACTTATTCACAATTTTTAAACATGGGAATATCTTAATGCACCCCTGCAATTGGTTGTTGGGTTAGGTTCTGGGTAGGGATTTTGTTTCTTACTTTGGGGATTGGACCTGATTTTTGGTTTGTGTTAGACAAATGTGCAACTCTAGAGGGGGGGGGGGGGTGAATAGAGTTGTTTTCAAGAATGTGCGTTTTTCGCGTGTGTGAAATAAAAAAACCGCAGGAATAAATAAAGAGAGTAAGGGAGAGAAGAACACCGAGATTTATAATGGTTCACCACCTCGTAGCTAGTCCAGTCCTCCGAGAGACTCTCTCGAAAGTCCTACTAATCTTCAAGCTTCAACGGGTGCTTGAAAAACCGGTACAACTTGAGAACTTGAATCACACAAGCCTCACTTTCTTACAACAACAAGACTTGAGTCACACAAGTCTTAAGAACAACACTCAAATGATATTGAGTTTACAACACAAGAATGAAAGCTCACACAATTGAGCAAAGTAGTGTTGAATAATTAAAGCTCTATGGATGACAACTTCTTAAGCACTCAAAGAAAATATTTCTAACTCTCAAAACATAATATTTTGATGAGGAAGATGAAGCAAAGGATGAATATAGCTCAAAGAATATTTTGAAGTGCAAGAGATGTGTGTAGAAATGAAGGAGAATGAGGGATTAAATAGGCTGAGGATAAAAGATCCGTTGGAGCAGATTGAGAATAGACACCAGACAATATTAATCGATTAAGGTAAAGCCTTTAATCGATTAAGGTGTACAGAAGCGAAAGGGTCTTTTGCGCAGGGTGCAAATTAATCGATTAAATTTGACAAAATAATCGATTAGATGGCGCTGTCTCAACTAATCGATTAAATGAAGAAGATTAATCGATTAATTGGAAAAAAGTCTTCAGCGAGAAATGCAATCTTAATCGATTAAGTTTGATGGAAAAATCGATTAGACTGCGCTGTGAGAACTAATCGATTAAAAGAATAAGAAAAATCGATTAACAATGAAGGCTTGAGAAATCCGGAACTGGATCTAATCGATTAATTTAGAAAAATTAATCGATTAAAGTGGAAATAAAGCGCAAAACAAGCCAAGTGCGATTGGAAACCTTTGGCTTCTAACTCGTTGTTTTGGACAAAGGGAATATCAACGGACGCTCCTCATATTTGATTCAATGAATTTGAGTAGGGGAGAGAAAAAGAGTCCAAAAATTATTTTGTGTGTCAAATGATGTACAAGAAAAATATTTAAAGTATATTTTTCTTACAAAAAAAAAGTTTGTGTATTCTTAAAAAAATGTGTTTAAGAAATTTTGACACACTTATTTTGAAACTGACTCAATAAAATATTTTTAGACAGAGGAAAAGTAATTTTTCAACTGACTCAGAAAATAATAATTTTTTTTATCCCTCAGAAATTAAGTTTATGCAAAAGTTATTGTCATCCTTACAGAAATCCTAGACTCAATAAAAATTAAAAAGTCTTCGGAGTCTTCACTTCACTTCAAAAAAATCTGCGTAGGGGTGATCGTCGATTTTTATCGCCGTAAACTTCTTGATACACTTCTTTGCTTTTCTCGATACGAAAATAAATTTTCGATCAGCTTGAAATTAATCATCCTGTTTGTCATTCATCAAAACAAAAAATATTCCAGAAGAAATAGTAAAGGGGTTTGAACTCATGTCCAACAATTTCCCCCTTTTTGATAATGACAAACATAGTTGAGAAAGAGCAAAGTAAGAGTTCAGAAATTACTTCCTTTACAGAAAAATTTCCCCTGCAAGGTTAGAGAAGTGCAGTAAAAATAATAATCGGAGTAATAAGCGGAAAAAAATTGTTCAACTATCCTTCCTTCCCCCTTTTGGCATTATCAACCGATAACCTTCCCCCTTAAACAATGCCGGGATATTGAAGGAAGAAATGCCACAAAGGGACAATATGTTCTAAATAAGAACAATATTGCCAAACCAACAATGATATTAATACACGAGCAGTTAATATCAACTAGCATCATCGAAAGGAAACATCATCATCCACCAAAAGAGTCATAACAAATAACAATGTATCATAATCAGTCAAGAGGGAAAGAAGATAACAATCAAAGAGAGTTCGCCGGACGAGCTCCTCCGCCAAAACTGTGACGCGGGCCACGGTAGGAGCGAGATTGCTCAAGACGAGTCATCCTCTCGTTGAGCTGGCGAACGTCATCTCGGATGCACGTGAGAGTATCGAATATCTTCTTCACCCAAGAAGGTTCTGGTGCTTCTTCTCTTGGACGAGTCCTCCGTTGACGAGTGACGCGCTCCGTGGCTCGACTTCCTCCGGCTTGAGATGACTCTGCTTGAGTCTCGTTTTGGCTCTCTTCTTCTTCTTCTACGACTATTAGGTCCAGATTTGGTGAAGCATTGCCCTCCTCTCGATACACGATCCGGGAAAACTTGGCTTCAGTGATGAAACACGTCTTCTTGACCGGCACCTGAGTGTCCCGAGTGAAGTCTATTTTGCAATGAGCAAGCATATGCATAATGGGGATGGCAAAACGGAGATGGGAAAAGCGAGTGCCATCGCTAAGTGCAACGATAAAGAAGTGAACCCAATCAAATTTGACATCGTTCAACAGGACGTGAAACAAACGAATATCGTCCTTGTTGACAACGCCATGGTTCGAATCACGGGGCAACAAAACATAGGAGAAGATGTATTGTTGGACGCGTTGAATTAAAGTGAGATTGATGACACTCGGGTTGCTAGAAATTCTAAACTTGAGGTCACGATGATCTAACCCGAGTTGTCGCCAAATTGCCTCATCTTGGAATGTTTCATCCAAGTTTTCGGTAATTTCACCGCGACGAAGGCCAAACAAAGAAGTCAAACCGGCATCGTCAATGAAAACGGTTTTGCCGTCAACATAGGAAATGAGAGATGGCGAACCTCCCTTAGTGGTACGAAGATTTGCATAAAATTGACGTATAAGATTTGGACAGAAGAATTTATACGTCAAATGAATGAAACGAAGCAAACCTTGCTGAAGAAACAGAGACTTACTCGGGGCATTGGTCGCCGATTTGAAGAGGTCCTTGTTCACGATCTTAGGAGAGACAATCTCCTTCGTGAGGAAGGTGTTGTGGAACCTCTCGACTGAAGCCCCAGTGTTGAAGGCGAGACCCGTTTGAATGTGAATGTACTTGCTCCCTTCACGACGCCATGGCCTCTCACTCTCCTCTGCCGCCGTTTCTTGACCCGAGGAAATGTTCTTGCACCTTAGCATTTTTCCTTTTTGAAATTGATGAAATTTGGTAAAAAATGGAAGAAATTTGAGAAGTTTATGATGAAGATTGAGAAAAAATTGAGAAGGGAAGAAGCTAGGGTTTCTCTGATTCGAAAAAGGGAATGGTGAAGAAGACGAAGACTGGGTGTGATATAAGGCAAAAATCGACTATTAATCGATTAAGCAGAAGTATTTAATCGATTAGGGAACACAGCCGAGGCTAATCGATTAAGTTAAGCTTATTTGTAACACCCTAATCCGTCCAGGCCTGCAGCCCTTTTAGGACTAAAGTATAAACTTGGTATTCGTAAACATTCAAAATATTTCAAATATTTAAAACTTTATCAATAAATAATTCAAAATAGTAACGGAGTAATTTAATGTTGCGGAAGCTTAATAAAACATAATACAAACATAATTAATTTATGTCTTTTCAACAGTAATTTAAATGCAAAACACACATCCGTCCGACCTTCTCGTCCCATCTGCCTCCAGGAAATCATTTCTTCATTCATTTTGTTTACCTGCGTGTAGCAAATAAAACATACTACACGCTCAGCGTTTAAGCTGAGTAAGCATATCTAATGCGTCGAACATCCATATAAACTGAATCTAAATTCATAATCAAACCCATTTGATATCATGCACATAATGTTCAGTTCAGGTACTCAATAATCATAAGTCAATATTCAACATTATATTATTTTCACATTT